TTTCTCCTTCTGTTTAAACAATAATAATTATATTTATCCCTGAGTGACCCTGAATTAAGGATGCCAAATGAAAGTTTTTAACAATTATGAATTATATAACCTGAATCTTTTTAAGAAAAAACCTGGATATGTACATACAGGTTTGAATTATGCATCCTTTACCTGTGCCATAAGGTCTTAAAGAAAATAAACCTTGCCCTTGGACAAAAATTGATCTCAGAGTATTCCTTTCTCCCCTTTCTGTGTATTTAAAATATAATCCTTCACTTTTCTTTGAGATGATAAAGCTTTTAATAAACCATTTCTTGTTTATGTTCATATAACTATAGATAATATGTATTATTTGATACACTAAATTGTCATCATTTTAATGATTTGATTCTGAAAAGAATGCTTTGCAAATATATGCCTAAAACAGGGTTTGAATTATCATTTTTACGTCAGCTTTCTACATAGAAATTAGTTTGAGGAAGGGAAAAAAAGCTCACCAATATTTTTGAAGGCTTGTTTCACTTTGCTTCTCTCTGTTCTTGAGAAAATTGAAGAAAGAAAAATATAAAAGGAGAGAGCTTTAGCAAGTGCCTAACTGGTTAATAATGAGTGCGAGCGAGTCTGCTCCTACAAACACCAAAGGTTGAGAGACATCTTCAAGGGTCTTGGTGTCTCTGACTTCATGAAATCTATCCCCTCACAAGGTCTTTTGTAACAGATACTTTCCCCTGTTTCTTATAAAGGCTGGTTAGAGAGAAAGATGCAAATTGTTAATGACCTCTGGGAAAGTCTCTCCCCAAAGTCTTCCTCCACAGTTAGAACTGCAGCAGGGACTGAGCTTTCCCCTGATGTCCTTTCACTTATTAAAAAATAGTTTAAAATTCCATACGACCCAGTTATTTCACTGCTTACAATATACCCCGAGAAAATGAGAACTGAGGCACAAATGGATATTTGTACCCTAATGTTTATAGCACCATTATTCACCATCTCAAGAACATAGAAGCCACTTAAATGTCCAACTACAATCAAATGGATTCAGAAATTATGGTACATTCACACAATGGAATACCATGCAGCATGTAGGAGCGATGATTTTGAAAATCACTACATAACTTGGGAGGGACTGGAGTGTATTATGCTAAATTAACTCAGTCGCATAAGCAGAAATACTGTTTAAGGTGATTTTTGAAGAAATAGAAAAATAGTAAAATGTGTATGAGGATTCAAGGAGGGGAGGGGAAAAGCAGAAGGGTGAAGTGGGGCAAGGGGGTAATCATAGGGTCACACAGGTTGGTGTGTAGAGGGAGGGGTGGGTAAAGGGAATGGGAACAATCCAGTGTGATAAACAATGTAAGTGAACTGGGTACATAAACAAACATAAAATAAAATTTTTATTGAGGAAACCCCATATAAACACAAACTCTGCTAAATTTAGGGCCAAATGAATTTTCTTTGACTATTCATAGAGAGATGACTCTGCTCCATGGCCCTCAGGCCTGCCTTTAATTGTTTTTGGTAAAACTTTCTTCTAGGTTGTATAACCCTGGAATACCCACTTGCTGTACAGAGGTAACTCATGGTTGCTGTGAAGCCGAACACTGTGACACTGATGAGTCAAATGCGAGAATGGTTACCCATGGCGGACAGTGTTTGATGGAGCTCCCCGACTGAAACAAGTTTGGAAGCAGGAGTGGCATCTACTTCCACAGTAACTTGCCTCTGGAAACCCTATGAACCTGGAGAAAGGACGAAAGTTATACAGAAGGTCTCCAGGACTTTCGTTTGATTAACAAAGAAGAATTTCATGAAACAACATCTGATCAAGAGCCTGTGGTGATGAAGGAATAAGTTCAAGCTGCTCTGAAAGGATTGACAAAAAACAAGGCTCCAGGAATTGATGGTATACCAATCGACATATTTCAACACACAAATGCTGCCCTGTAAATGCTCACCAGGTTGTGCCAAGGAATCTGGAGGACAATCATCTAACCAGGCGACTGGAAGAGATCCATGTATATTCCCAGTCCAAAAAGAGATGATCCAAGAGTGTGGAAATTATTCAACAATATCATTAATATCACCCGCAAGCAAGATCCAGCTGAAAATCATCCAAAAAAGACTGGAACAGACATCAACAGAGAACAAAATGTGCAGGCTGGTTTTAGATGAGGCTGTGGCACTATGGACATTATAGCCATTGTTAAATGGATCATACTGAAAGCAGAGAGTACCAGTTGAATGTCTATCTGTGTTTCATTGATTACACAAGGGTGTTTGGTGTGGATTACAATAAACTATGGCTGATTCTGAAAAGAATGAGAATCCCAGAACACTTAATTGTGCTTATGCGGATCCTATACTTGGACCAAGAAGCAGTGTTCAGAACAGAGCAAGAAACACTGTATAGTTCAACCTTGGGAAAAGTTTATACCAGGGATGCAGCCTATTTAATACCTTTTTGATGTCTACATAGAACAGATCATCCAGGGGCCTGGGCTCTATGAGGAGGAATGTGACAATAGGATTGGAGGAAGACTCATCAACAACCTATGCTATGCACATGATACAACTTGCTTGCTGAAACTGAAGATGACCTGAGGCATCTCATGTAGAAGGTCAAGGACTGCAACCCCAAATATGGATTGAAATTCAATTACAAGAGAGCAAAGATTCTCACCATTGGGCCAATTGCCAGCATCATGATAGACGATGAAGAGATTGATACTGTTAACAGCTTCAGCTTGCTTGGCTCCACAATCAATACTCTTGGTACCAGTGGCCAGGAAATCAAAAGATGAGTTGCATTGGGAAAATATGCTGTCAAGGACCTCTCCAGAGTGCTGAAGAGCAACAATGTCAATCTAGAGACTAATGTGAGCCTGATCCAGGCCACAGTCTTTTCAATTACTTGCTATACATCAGAAAGCTAAACAACAACTAGAATGATAGAAGGAGAATCAGTGCCTTTGAACTGTGATGCTGGAGAAGAGACGAAACAAACAGTTTCATACTGGAGAGGGTGAAACCAAGCTGCTCCTTGGAAGCAAGGACTTTGAAGCTCTGTCTTACATACTTTGGGAATGTTGCAAGGAGGGACCTGTCCTAGGAGAGGGACATCATGCTTGGAAGAGTGGAGGGACAATGAAAGAAAGAAGACCTTGCATGAGATTAATTGACTCAGTGACTGGGCTAATGGCAGTAGGTGTGTCAGAGACAATGAAATTAATTCGGGATAAACAGGGTGTAGGGCTCTTGTCGAGAGGGTCTCTATGAGTTGAAGTCAACTCGATGACACATAAAAATAATCTACAGAATTAGGCAAATAAAATTATTATTTTATAGGTTAAAATAAGGTAAGACTAAGCAAACATAGGAAGAAATACAGTATGAGGAGCTGGAACGAAAGTGTGACATAATCTGATATTAAGTCAGAGAAAGTTTTACGATAAAAGTAGGCATTCTTAGAAACAGTTCTTAATGAGTGACTACATGGTGTTAACCTTGAGCATTGGCCAAAGATCAAAAACTTGGGCAAAAAGAGAAATACCTATTCAAAGAGAACTTCCACCAGAAGACCCAAAACAAATAACCAATGAAACAAATACCTTCCAGTAAGCCAGTTCTGACTATTCTTAATCCCCTCCCACCAAAAAACTAAAAATATCTATGGTGGACAATCTTTGCAAGAGGAGACTGCTGATCTTTCTTTCATCTCTGGACCAGTTGAAGGATTTGAATGATAAACATTTTTGTTAGCACTCTGCTGATATTAGATCATGTTACCAGGATATCGGTAATTAAGTTGCTGCAAATGATGGCAAATGTGTTTCTACACACAGTCGGCAATTTAAAAAGTGTGTAGCAACGTGTTAATAAAAAATTGTATTTACTGTATTAAAATGACTTGACTTTCTGTTTTCTTCAGTTTATCTTTTTTTACATAAATAGAGACTGCAGACAGCAGATTGCAGGTATAGGTTAGAGTCAGTTACAGCATAGAAACGGACTGTTAAAATATGCGATAAACTTATTCAATAGACTTATTATTTGGACAAAGAAAATACATCCCATAAGGGAAAAAAAATGTTTTCAAACTCAGATGATGAGGGCATTATTTTATGCTTGTGATTTATCTTCTTTTACATTTTTCACGTTTCCTCTCTCATTCCAGGTTTTCTAGGTTTATTTTCCACAGAAGTCTGCTTGGAGAGGACAACTTATATCAGAATGAGAGAACTCTGGAGGCATTGTCTTTAGGGAGTTTTGCTGTTAACCCAACAGAATGGCCTACGTGTTGGTAGGAATTTGACCCAAGAAAACTCCACAGAAAAAAATATGGACTATTTCCATGCAGGTTACAACCTTCTGAAAACCCTCTGGGGGTGAGAGCACCTTTGAGTCAACTACATCTAGATAGCACTACTGTTCTATATACCATCAATAGGTGACTCTCCAGCAGAATTTCAGAAGCAGTAATTAGGATGGGAGGAGTCAGCCCATCTTTCTCCTGAGGAGCAGCTGGTTAATTCAAACCTCATACCCTCTGGTCTGCAGCGCAAGTCCTTACCGCTAAGCCACCCGTGCTCCCTGACAGCAACGGGTTGAATATGTCAGTGTATTTTAGCACGGATCTTTGCTAATTTTCTTTTCCTTTTTTCTTCATACAACATAGGCATAATGAGCCCTTACTGTGCACACTTTCCAGTTCATGATACAAAATTGATATAAATTCTTTAGTATAGGAAATAATGAGAGAGACAAAATTATGCTGAGTAAAATAATAATGATATTCTGAACTTAATAAGACCCTACTTACCTAGATATTTTCATAAATTATCTAAGAATTAATGGAACAAATGTCATATAATAATGAAAATTCACATATACTTCTGTAAAATGAGCTAGAGTTTTTATTCCACCACAAAAACCATACAAAATTGGTATTATTGTCTTAATTTTATATATCAGTCAAGACAGAAAAAAAAATCATCCAGTTTACAGTATCATTACTTTAATGATACTATTTGTGATTGACCTCTTTTAAAAATCTTCTTACAGCACAATATTTTAATTGCGTTCTTTACTTCTGAATTTCTCAGTGTGTATATGAGAGGGTTTAACATAGGAGCTATAATAGTGTAAAATAAAGCTACCATCTTATCCCCAGAAAAGGTAGTGTCAGGGCGCATGTACATGAAAGTACAGGGACCAAAGAAGATGATGACCACGGCAATGTGGGAGCCACAGGTGGAGAGAGCTTTGCGCCTGCCTTCTGCAGACTGCTTTCTCAGGGACACCAGGATGACAGTGTAAGATATTATCAAGATCACAAAGCTCCCCAAAGAAATGACCCCACTGTTCGATGTATCAACAATGCCAATAATATATGTGTCTGTGCAGGCTAGTTTCAGCAGGGGGTGAACATCACAAAAGTAGTGATCAATCACGTTGGGTCCACAAAAGGGTAGCTGGATCACCGAAGTCAACTGCAAAATGGAGTGTATGAAGCCGGCTACCCAGATCCCAAATAATAATTTATTACGTCTGTCCCAGTCCATAATAGTCATATAGTGTAGGGGTTTACAAATGGCCACATAGCGATCATAGGCCATTAAGACAAGGGTGAAAACCTCAACACAACCAAAGAAATGCACCCCAAAGAGTTGCAACATACAGCCCACGTAGGAGATAGTTTTCTTTTTGGCTAGTAGGTCAACAATCATCTTGGGAGCTGTAATTGAGGAGAAGCAAATGTCCACACAAGATAAATTATTGAGAAAGAAATACATAGGGCATTTTAAAAGGTTGCTAGTACACACTGTCATTATAATGAGGAGGTTTCCCAGAAGAGTAATTGTGTAAAAGAAAGAGAAAACCATGAAACAAACTTTTGCTACCAATGGGTTCTGAGAAAGACCCCAGAAAATGAACACAGTTACATTGTTTATTTTTTCCATGGGGTTGATCCAGTAGATGAAACTCCTAAGACATAAGTATTCTGAAAAGAAAAGAAAAAAACATCAAAGATATTAATTTTAATGAAGAAGAAATGGATATTTCAAGTAATTGAAAATGGAGAATGAGTACTAATTTTTTGTTTGGCATGATTAGAACCCCTTACCTTTCAACAAGAAGTAGTATATTTATTATTCTCTAAGGAATCAAATTCTACAGATATATATCTAATCCCATAAATCATCCTTTAGTATACTAGTTGGATTTTTCTTCCTGCTTTTAAAAACTATTTTTAAATTTGTTTGCTTTAGAGCATCTCGTGAATTTATATTCTGTGTAAATACTATCCTTAATTTTGGACAGTTTCTAAGATTGTCCAATTGCTTGGCGTTCCTGAATGTTCAAACAGTTTACCTGCTCAGTGGATAGCTGCAACATTAGAGATTCAAATCCACTTACAAGTGTCTTGGAGGAAAACCCTACAAAATCTGGTTTCAAAACAATGTTTTTATTTCTATTCTTGTTAGGTGCTGTTGAGTTGAGTATGACTCACAACAATCTAATGAACAATTGATCTGAACACTGTCCTATCCTGTGTCAATCTCACAATCGCTGACACACTCGAGTCCATCGCTGCAGTCACCGTGTCAACCCATGTGTTTGAGAGTCTTCTCTTTCACATCTCCACCTTCTCAAGCATCAACTATCTATTCGGAGAATACCCTCTCCTAGAAACAAGTCCAAAGTATGACAACTCTCAACTAGTAAAACATGTCTACCCTAAACATTAAGCTTCTTTTAGAACTCTGAAATCAAATTTACAGAAGCATCTTAAAAGATTAGCTAAGAACTTCAGCAAACAGTGAATTTGTGATAACTGGGGAAGAATTAAGAAAAGGCAGATTGAGAATGGATGCACAATTCAACTTGAAGAATGAAATCAATGTCTCTGAATGGAACAATGTAGAAATTATTGAGTTGGCATATAATTTATTTGTTCTAAACAAAAGAAATAAAATTAAAGCAAATAAGGTAACACAAAATCTTATGCATTACCGTAATCGTCTGATACAAAGGGTCAGTATAAATTGGAATTGACTATAGGGTAACTGGTTGGTCTGTATTTAAGAGCATAATAATACTTGCACTTTGTTCAAAAGTATAGTAATAGATAAAGGAAAACATTGGCCTTTAATTTTTCTTCTGAATATGGACATTTCTGTCCATTTTCACTAGTGAGGTGAAGTAGTAGGCACTGAGTGACTTAAACTGATTTTCTTTTTAACATGCATGTGTTCCTTTTAAATTTTATATCGGTTTGCATACAAAAGTCCTATGCATTGTGTTTAATTTATACATTGTTTTTCCATGCATTCTTTCTTTCACACTGTGTTTCACATTATCATTCCAACCCATTGTGTTTTATAAAATTATTCACCATTTATCCATGTCCATCATTACTCTACCCTTTCACATCTCTACTGTAACTTTCCTAATTTCTTCATGCCCTCTGTCAACCAAACTCTGAAATATCGATATTTCCCCAACTCCTCTCCCCCAGCCCCCCTCCTTCATCACTTTCTCCCTTAGGACTTTGGTACACATCGTACTAGTTGTCTTTCTATTTTGAGAATTATGGTCTTCTGCAGTATTTGTCCTTTTGAGACTGAGTTATTTCACTCAGCATAATGCTCTCCTGCCTCTCCCATGTTATATAGTATTTTTCAAAAGTATTGTTCCTTAGTGCTATATAGTATTCCATTGTGTGGATGTACCACAATTTCTCAATCCATTCATTTGTAACCTTTTCGATATTCTTGCTTTTATAAATAACACTGCTATGAACATTGGTACGAATATCCATTTGTGTCTCTTCTATTTTCCTTGGAGTATATTCATAGCAGTGGAATAGCTAGGAAATATGGAATTTCTATGTACAGGTTTTTGAGGAAAAGTCAAACTGCCTTCCAGAGTGGTTGTACTATTTTACAGTCCACCCAACAGTGTATTATGATTTCCAATCTCTCCACATCTCCAACATTTATTACTTGCTGTCCTATTAAAATTTTCCACTGCTACAGGTATAAGATGGTAGCTCATTGTGGTTTTGATGTGCATCTCTCTTATAGCCAGTTATTTTGAGCACTTTTTCATGTGTCCATTTGCTATCCAAATATCTACCTCTGTGAAAAGACTATGTCTTTTGCCCATTTTGTATTTGGATTGTCAGCCTTTTTTTGTGTGGAGGTTCTGTTGTTGTTGTAGATTGCCTTCAAGTTGAATGCGACTCATAGCGACCCTATGAACAAAAGGCCTGAAACCCCTCTACAACTATTGATATTTATCAAAGTTCATAGAGTTTCTGGAGTCATGCTGTTTAGGAAGTGGATGCCACTCCTGCTTCCCAGAAGGCTTTGTAAGATTCTGTAAACTTTGCTTATTAGACCCTTGTCTGAGATGGTACTGCCAAATGTCTTTTCCCAATCAGTAGGGTTATTTTCCACTCTATTGGAAAAAGTTTTTATGTGCACAGTCTTAGGAGGTCCCATTCTTTGATTTTATCCTCTCCTAGTTGTGCATTTCTTTACGTATTTGCCAACCTCTTTATCCCATTAGGCTAGTCCTTCTAAGCTTGGTGCCATTTTGTGTCTTACTATCTTTATGGTTAGGGACTTTACTCCGAGGTCTGTTACTCATCTTAAGTTGATTTTGTGTATAGTACAAGATGTGAGCCCTCCTTTAGTCTTCTGCAGGTAGAAATCTAGTTTTGCTAGCACCGTTTGTTAACATTATTGTTGTTTTTCCATTTGGTAGGCTTTGTGTTCTTGTCAAACACCAAATGACTGTAGGTATATGGGTTAATTTCTGGATTCTCAATTCTGTTTCATTGGTCTTTGTCTCTGTCAGTGTATCAATATCATGCTGGTACCATGCTGGTTTTGTTATAGCTATGTAATAGGTTTAAGAGCAGGGAGTGCTATGCCTTCCACTTCATTCTTGGCTTTAGAGGTGCTTTGCTTATTCGAGGTCTCTTTCTTTGCCAAATAAACTTGACAATTGCCTTTTGTATCTTTTTTGAAAAAATGAACTTGGTATCTGTATCAGGATTGTATTGAATAGGTATATTGGTTTGGGTATGACTGTAATTTTCATTATATTGAGACTATCTATCCATAAACAGAGAACATTTTTTCCATTTATTTAGATCTCTCATTGTTTCTTGTAGTAATGTTTTGTTGCTTTCTTTATAAAGACCTTTGTGTCTCTATTAATTTTACTTCTAAGTATCTCAGTTTGTGGTTGACTATTTTAAGTGGCATTGCTTTCTTAGTTTCTTTTTCTGTGTCTCCTTTGTTATTGTAAGTGGATCCCAGTGATTTTTGTATATTGATCTTGTAGATGTATTCAGGGTACTGTACCTAACAAAAACCCAATTTACTTCTTCTCTAGGACACATGGTACATACTCCAGAGTTAACCACATATTAGGACACAAGGCAAGCTTAAAAAAAAAATAAATAAAAACCCCACCATGCCAATTAATAGTACAAAGTATTGCCTCAGGCTACAATGACCTTAAACTAGAAATTAATGACAAAGGGGTAAAGCTTACAAAATCACCCACAGGTAAGCTACATAGCCCATGTGGTTAACTGCCTCTGAAGACTCGTTGGAGGGTCAGCTATTGGTTGGTTCTGACTTCACGGTACACAACAATAACACAACAGAACATGATTGGGTTATAGGGAAAACAATACAAAAAAATGTATTAAAAAAGTTCTTCAAGAAACAAAGGATAATGAAAATACAACATGCCAAGACCTCTGGGATACAGCTAAAGCAGTCTTCAGGGGGCAGTTCATAGCAATAGGTAAGCACATAAAAATGGAAGAAAGAAGGAAACTTAATGACCACATGCAACACTTTCATCATATTAAAAAAGAACAGCAATCTAATGTTACAGCCTCTAGAAGAAAGGAAATTATTAGAACAAGTGCTAAAATCAATGAGGTACAGTTTAATGGGTGGACGGGAGTGGGTTTGGATGTTGGGATCTGATGTGAGGGGCAAGGTATATGAAGTCTGTATGTAAACTAGTGTAACATCAAGAAAATGAAAAACATGTAAAAATAAATAATAATAATTTTTAAAAGAAAATGGAAAAACAATTGAAACCATCAATGAGACCAGGAGTCAGTTCTTCGAAAGGCTTAATAAAATAGAGAAACCACTAACAAATGAAAAGAAAGAGAAGACACAAATAACTCAGAAATTACAGAGGTGACATCATAACAGGAGAAGATGAAATTAAATCAATAATATTAGAATATTAGAAAAAGCTATTATTATTGTTGTTATGTGCCATCAAATTGCCTGTGACTCATAATGACCCCATGTACAATAGTCTGAAACTGGCCCTATCCACAGCCAGTCTCACTGGCCCCAACACATCAATCCCCATTACTCCAGTTACTGTGTCAATCCATCTCATTTGGGGTCCTCCCCTCTCACACTGTCACTCCACCTTTCCAAGCAGGATGACCTTCTCTTGGACACACCCCTAAAGTACGTGAGATGGAGTTTCAATATTCTTGCCTCCCAGGAGCAGCCTGGTTTCACTATTTCCAGAATAAGCTTATTTGTTCCCTTGGAAGTGAGTGATATATTCAGTACTCTTCTTCAGCATCATGACCATGGACTAAAAAGTATCTTCTGTCATCCTTAGTCTTGTTCAGCTCCCTGATGCATAGCAAGTAACTGAGACCATGTCCTGGATCAAGCTCACCTTAGTATCTAGACTGACATCATTGCTCTCTAGTATTTTAGATAGGTCTCTGACAGCAGCTTTCCCCAGAGCAAAAAGGGTTTTGAGATCTTGAATGCTGGTGCCTCGAGTGCTGACTGGGAACCCGAGCAATCTGACATTGGGAAGAACCTCAGCTTCTTCTCCATCTGTCACGGTGTTGCCAGTTGGCACAGTGGTGAGAATCTTTGTCTTCTTG